TATAAATAAAAGAATTTATATTTGTTAACTATGAAGTAAATTACTCCTGAAATTTTTCATGATAATTATTTGTTCGAAGAAATATAAATAAAATTTAAAACAAAAGAATTGGATAGTGTTTATAAATTTTGGTGAATTATGCAGCAATTAACCACCACAAAAGTAAAGATGTCTCACCCTAAGTTTTCTAAATGGTTCTTCAATTGTTAACTATGGAGTAAATCACTACTGAAATTTTAATCAAATTATTTATTCGAAGAATCTGCTTAGGTAAAAAATCATGCCATTGCTCAGCTAAATAATATTTGTAATACATAGCAGCCATCTAAGAAAGCATATTTACATTATACTTCTATATCATATATTTGGGTCGATTATGTAGCAATTAACAACCACAAAAACATTCCGTTATGTTGCAAAAAGCTTTACTCCTGATAAGAACATTGAAAAATAGAACTAGCAAGCATTATTAATTTAAACTTGACATAGACTCATCAAACAATGAATATTATGCATTTATTCAAAGACTAATGTTCGATTACGTGCATACATTCTAATGACCTAAAATAGTATAAAAAGTGAATTAAAAAATTATACACAGTCAGATGCTCCTGCCAAGCCAAAGAACTCCACTAGCTAATACTTGCAAAATCTAATGCAATACTACAGTTCAAGATATTAAAAACAAAACAAAAGATGTCTCAGATCAAAATTGTAGAGAAAAGTTTCTACAAAATCCCCTTTGATGCATAATATATTGTTTAGTGGCTACTGTTCGATTGATATATGTGATGAGGATATAGCTATTAATTAAATTGTAAAAAATAAAGAGAATGATTCTAACCTACTTAATAGAGGGCCTTCCATCCATATAAATAAGTTATAGGGAACTCTCAAAACCCTGTTCCATCATCACTCTTTAACTCTTTAATCTCAACCAACAGTCTGGATTGGTCAAACAAGGTGTGTGACCCTCACCCACTGATTCAGGTGGTGGGTTGGGATACGAAGGTCGAAAATAGCAGAAGGTCGGGGGAAGCCTTCTATAGTTTCAAGAACTTGTCCTAATGAACAGACATCATAAGTTCCCAGCATCAAGCACAATACTTGAAGAACCGGTTTAAGAGTCCAAGGAAACCATTAGTTCATGGAGACATAACAGAACAAGTCAAAACGAAGGACAATACGAAAAGAAGAGCATAATGGCAAAGCTATAGTGTTAGAAAGATTTTGGCTCGTTGAATCAAGAGGGCAAACACTGTCCAATTTTGATGAACAGAACAAGTCAAAAAGGAGGACAACAAGAAAAAAAGAGCAGAATGGCGTAGCTATGATGTCAGAAAGATTTTGGTTTACCAGATCAAGAGGGCAAGCACTGCCCAATTTTGATGAACCGAATAAATCAAAAAGGAGAATAACAAGAAAAGAAGGGCACAATGGCGTGGCTATGGTGTCAGATCCATGAAAAATATGCAGCTTGTGATATTAAAATCCATTGTTGTATGAACATCAACCAAGGACTTCAATTAGTTTTCTTTTTTTTTTTCTGAGTAGGATGTTGATATGCAAGAAAAGTAGCAGTCTAACAAATTAGCTGATTAAAATTTTAATTTTAAAGATATACAGCATGGAGATTAAAACGTATAATCAAATATGACTTTTCTATTCAATTTCACCCCCTTCAGAATAATGCAAAACTTTTCACTCCCCATAGCTTCCAGAATCATGACTGGACATAAGCATCCTTGTTGTTTTGGAGTTCAGAATTCAACTATTCAACTAATCTGCTTATGTTCTCTACAGCTTTCAACAACTAACCATTAGCTTTTCCTTAGGCAAATTGTTACATGCAAGTTCGGTCACTGGCTTGTCCATGCATCATTCAAATTCCTATCTCAAATCAAAAGGCTCCTAATTTTTCAGTCAACAATGATAGGTAGCTCCGGCAGCTTCACGGAAACTTTTTGTCCGTTCAAACTGCTACATTAGACGTAAATAAGAAGTGCCTATACTATTTATATTCAGCCCACATATGATAAACCTTTTTTTTTTTTGACAATTATTAAATCTGAAACTCTTTTCGTGTACTCCCCATAGTGTTTCGTTAACCACCACACTCGCGTGAAGCATAGTCTATCCAACACATGGAGACAGGAACCAACAAATACCACATCCCTGTGGAACCTCAAAGTAATAATTTCACAAACAAGTAAAGAAAGAGTGATTATGCATCCAAGAAACTTATGAACACAATGTTATGAAAGCAATAAGTTTTTGACAAGGAAACCTGATAGTAATTTAGCATGATCAAGATAATTACAAAGCTAAGGCACATAAAAAATATCAAAGAATCTGCATGTTACTAAAATTTCTTGCAGGCAGTAAAAGAGTATATTTCAATGATTTACCTCATTCGGAGAAGTTACTTATTCCTATCTGGCCTGATCTCATCAACATTCTTTTCCTACAAATCATGCAAAAGAGAAACAAACATGACGAGACTTCCAATTTCATGAACAATAAATCGATTTTAATCAATTTATAGACTTGACAAACCATTGCTGGGGATGGATCCTTCCGGATTTTCCGAGTTGGGCTCCTCATTGTGACAAGCTCCTCTGCAGATGTTGGGTGAATTCAGACGGTGGAATCAAAATCTGTCTTAGTTAGTCCAGCTTTTACAGCAATAGCAATCCCCTGAAGCATATAGAAATCAAGCCTGGTAAGCTAAAAGCTAGGCAATATTAAGGGGATGCAATTAAAACAAATAAAAGAAACATGTGCACTCCTAACACTTTGTTCGTGCTTGCACATACAATAAGCTTCATAAAGACCCGTTCATTTTGGCTCGTCGGATAAGAAGGTAAGCACTGCCAAATTTTGATGAACCAAACAAGTAAAAAAGGAGGACAACAAGAAAAGAAGAGCAGAATGGCATAGCTATGTTGTCAGAAAGATTTTGGCTCGCCGAATCAAAGAGGGCAAGCACTGCCCAATTTTGAAGAACCGGAATCGCAGGTTCAATGCATTAAACTCAAGGTTCCAAGAACATTACATAACTTAGTGATCTGAGGTTATCAAGAACAGAGAAGTAACAAGGCAGACGAGACGGCATTGCGAGATCCACACAACAAATGCAAGAGCCGAAGAACAGAACATCTTTCTTGTGGAGATCAAAAAGTCAAGAACGCGTGGCATGTAGAACTCCTCGAGGAACACACAAGGAATAAAGAAAGAAAGAAGATGACTATCTTGTGAGAAGTATCTCAAGAAATCTAGGTTCGTATTCAGTAAATTTAGGGAACAGATCCATACCGGGCGCTGGCGCTCGGGGTCCCAATGTTGCAAGCAACAGCGGCGGCGTCGATTCGTCGCCATCCATTTCCGCCTCCCCCTCAACTTCTTCTTCTTCTTTGTCATCTTTCCTTGCTCCGACGACGCCGAACACCAGAGCTGCCGGCAATCGAGCAAGACCTTGTCAATAATCCTTTCAACATTCGAAGATCAAGGTTCAAACCACACTCATCGATGCAGATCCAGAAAGCCAAGGTAAATAGAAGGAAACAAGAGAACGGATCAACGATTTCTTGACATGGGATTAGAATTTAGAGGGGGGGTACCTGCAACAACGGAGGCGATCGCAGGCGTTCTTGATGGTTTGGAACTGGGTGATGTGGTTCGCCTTCGCCATGAACGGACGTCTTCAGAGCTCTCGTTTTGGCTACGGAATGGTCGGGAAACCACAGAGGGATTAGAATTTATAGAGGGGGGAGAGGGGGGGGGTGGGGGGGGGGGGGGGCAGCACCTGCAACAACGGAGGCGATCGCAGGCGTTCTTGATGGTTTGGAACCGGGCGATGTGGGTCTCCTTCGCCATAAACCAACGCCTTCAGAGCTCTCGTTTCGGCCATATACATAGGGAGAAGGCCGAGCTCCAATTTCTAAGATTATTACTTTTGGAGGCGGTGGACGGCTCCCCTCTTCTCAGTCTCTATTCATCTTTGCCTCTTTGTAAAATAATAATAATAATAATAATAATAATAATAATAATAATAATAATAATAATAATAATAATAAATTATTACATGCATGTTAAAAAAATATAATTTATTACCCATTTTCTCTTATACATAAAACATAGATATGAGATGCTCTGTTTTCTACTTGGTTGCCAAAGAACATCGACATGCTCTGTTTTTTCTTATGCATGAACATATGTATACACGCATACACACACACAAGCCTAAATGTAGACACCGCAAGGAATTGCAATCGCAAACACATAATCATAGTGTAGTCATATTGACACTGAACCGTAAGCAGCAGATTGAGAACCTAGCAACCGTTCAGAACAAAAGTACTGAAAACGTAGGGTCGCCGTTCGGAGAATATCATACAAAGTTTGAAGCCAAAAGATCATCTAGTTGCACATCAAACTCGGCTCATCAGCCAGATAAAATAAGTGTGGAAACAACAACTATTACTTTACACCAACTAATTTGAACTCGTTATATCAGCAAAGATCACATACTCCACGTAGGTAAGCCACAAACTTGTCCCGGTTGCAAATTAATTAAACCACCTCGCTGAACACCAAAGAGACAGCCTTGAACCATCACAAAATTGGTTTCACCAATCAGAGCCTTCAGGCCATAAATGCTGCAGGTAGGTAGATGAATCCAACCGTATAAATTATACACTTCTTTGGTAACGCATCATAGGAGTAAATTTCCCATTCTCATCATCGAATTTAGCTCTTGGGCCGGGAAGATTTGCATCTCCATGACTTGGTGTAGTCTGCAAAATTTGTTGCAGATTTCCGCTTGGATCACAAATACCAAGTTTGACGATGAATGTGGCAGTGCAACCTTTCCCTATGCCTTCACTTTCAAGCCAGATCTGTCCTTCCATGAGGCTCACAAACCTGATTGTGCCAGTGGAAAATGTCAATAAAAAGCTAATCAGGAAGAATAATCAATTAGCCAAACAAGATAGAATCCATGTAGATGAGTTTTTCCTTTTCTATTTTTGTTGTAGTAGAATTAGATAAGCCCTCTTTCATAGATATCAATCACCAATCCAGAAGAAATCTACAGCAACAAGTTTATGCATAACAGTAATTTCGGAGAAAAAATTTGCAAGGTATGCATCATATTACACTTTCAGGTGACATTAACAGTGTTTTAAGGCAGTACCTCCTACAAATAGCAAGGCCGAGCCCACTGCCATTGGAGGCTTTGTTTGCACTGTTGCGGGAGTGTGCAAACTTAGTAAAGATGTGTGGTAAATCTTGAGGACTGATTCCACAGCCAGTATCCTTGATCTGCAACATTTAAGAAGACAATTATAGGTAATTGGTTCACTTTAACATGGACAGGAAGTAACATGGTCATGAAATTAATAAGTTTCTGCATTGGTTTTAGATTAATTGATCTATGCAGCAGCGGTGGATATACATAGTCATATCAAATGAGAAGCCTGTTCATTTGGTAAGTGATATCTTGTTGTCATAAGGCAACAGATTCCATAGTCAATGGAATTGTCAGAATAATAGATTATAGAATGGCTACTAAAAACAACTAGTCAATTTTTCAATGACAACAGACCTGTACACGCAAATCGAAATGCCGATCACTGGTAACTGGAGAGAATTCAGGAGCCCGAGGGTCTCTTGAAGAATCTGATCTGGCAACAGATGCTGTGATTGATATATGGCCCTCCTTCGTAAACTTGACAGCATTGCCAGCAACATTTAGTATTGTTTGCATAAGCCGTTTTTCATCACCAATGGCACATAAGGGCAAGTCGGGCGCCAATGTCACAGACACAGAGAGCTTCTTTACAGCAGCTATCGGTTTTATCAAATTTATGACCTGCAATTTAATGTGTTTTATCAACTAATCAATATTAACTATGACACAAAAACAAAATTAAATACGACCCATGTATTGACCTCTCTGAAAACGGCATGAAGGTTGAAATTTGCAATCTCCAACTCAAAGCTCCCATCTTCCAGCTTAGAAAGATCCAAAACATCATTGATAAGTGCTGCCAGCAGATTGCTACTTTTTAACACAGTTTCTATCATCAGTCGTTGTTCAGGAGTTAGCTCAGTTTCCAGAAGCAGGGATGATAGAGCTATAACTGCATGCATTGGAGTCCGCATTTCATGGTTCATGACAGCTAGAAAATCATTGCGAGCACGGATAGCCATCTCGGCCTCCCGACGAGCGGAATCTAGAGCAACATTTTGCTCCATAAGTAAGTCACGTGCCCGCATTGACTCTTCTAAAATGGCAGCATGCGAAAGTGCAACTGCTACCTGAATGACATCAAATCCGAAAAGAAAATTAACTCAGTGCAATTGAACTGTATGGAAACTTGAACAACACAAGATATACATTATTAATCAAAACCCACAAGATCACTTTCCAAAAATGGTGTTAACCCCACCAAAAGATTATTTATAGACATCACATTAGCTCCAATGATTTAAATGGGCGCTCGGTCGCTCGCCTACACGCTCGGCCGAGGCGAGGCAAGACCCGAGCACCTCAACAGTGAACCAGGCGACGCACTTCAATGAGGCGCCACAAGGGCACTCGCCCGAAACCGGGTGCTAGGCGCCTCGGGCGAGCGCCTCGTTCAAATAGTTGAATCGAACCAGATTTTTAAGTCTGGATCGACCTCAAGCGATCCCCTTTCTTACCTACAAAAGCCACCCCCAACACTCACGCGCGACCCCGAGCGATCAACCCTAGCAAGTGCTCCTGCCTTCGCCGCAGGAGCAACAGACTGAGGCCTCCTTTGTCGCCGACAGAAAGGTCTGACGGGCTTAGCCTTCATCCGTAGCTTCCTTCTACCGTCGCGGGCAAATACTTCTAACATCAAGGGAGAGGACCACAGCTTCCTCCACGATTGACATACACTTCAAAAGCTTCCTCTGTCCATGACGTCACCATCCGCAACTTCCGTTGGTGTCGTCGATGCCGTTGCTGTTGTCCGTAGCTTCCACGCTGTCGCAACTGTCGTCCGTAGCTTCCTTCGCTACCGCGACTGTCATCCGCAACTTCCTCCGTCACCGTTGCCTTCTCCTTCCCCACTATCAACCATTGGTGACATTTTTCTTTTATTTTTTTCTCCATTTGCTACTGTTAACAATTTTTTTCCCCTCTTAACTACTGTTAATAGTAAATAATATACTGTTAACAGTAGATTGTTAAATCTCTAATTTTTATTGTTTTAAAATTATATATTAGGTTTTAGAATTAATGACAAGTGTACAAAGCAGTTTAATTCTAATATAGGTCTTCATAAACATGTTTGGCATATTTTTATTTAGTTGTATATTATTTTAATTATAATATTCGAGAGTGCCTCGTTTCGCTCGGGCAAGCGTTGAGGGACTTTGGCGCCTAACATTTTATAAATCACTAATTAGCTCACAAGATAAGTGCACATAACACCATTTAGTATCAAGCAAATCTATATCTCATGTCCGGATCTTATTACATGGTCAAATAAGAAATGTTTAGAATGACATATTTCACTAGTTCATTCTTAATTTCAAAACTTTAGATGATTGACCGATGTTCTTCAGATCACAATGCTCCCTCTTCATGGTTCACCTTATACAAGCCAGGTTATAAAACCTGAAGCGTTCAATGGTCAGCTAGGTCACCCGTAATGTTTATGTAATAAAATATCACCATAGGTGCATTGAAGGTGAACACAAGTATGGGATGACTATTTCTATTCATCCAATGATCCATTTTATTAATGAGTAAAAATTAATTACATAAGAGATTAAAGCAATGTTTCATGGCCTCACTCCATGAACAATAAAAAAGCAAAAAGAAAAACATGCTGGCCACACATTTGGACCCCTGAGCTTCTGCAATATGTTGAGCTGTCAAGGAACACTTCAACACCTAGTTATTAGTGCTACAGCCATAGATCTAGCACTAGTGTGTGTGTGTGTATATAGATACAGAAAAATGAGGTAAGCATAGGTAATCTCCAGTAAAGTCAAGAACTAATCAGCTGTATGAAAAATCTGAAACCTCAACCTAACAAGGACTGGAATGCTGCGAATCATATGACTCCAACAAGCACTTGGTAAGAGCTCTATATTCAACTCATTTTCTCAAGCTAAAAGAAAACCATAATATCAATTATTCAAACTATGTGTCATTGTGAGAGACACTAAATAAGGTATTCTTGTGTGAACACATAACAATTATACCACTTCTATAAGGATTTCTAAGAAAAGTACCCTCAAATTAACCTTGATGTTGACTGTTAATGGCGATTCTTTAAACTGAAACCACTACAAGAGTGCCACAACGAGAGAAAAAAGGAACAAGAAATCATTTCAGCACATTTTATTTACATTAAAGAACCATGAAATAACAGCCTCGACAACAAAATACAGCCATGGAAGAATGGAATACTATGTATGTCTAACAATCTTATAGAATATATGTTATCACATAGTAAAATCATAGCTTCAGTGATCATGAAAATGGATCAAAAAATTCAATGAGTCCTTGATTTTCTTTCCTTCAGAACTAAATGAATGGAATGGTAAGTCCACTAGCTTGTTTCTTTAAACATTAACAACTTTACCAATGATCATTAGAAACTTATAGTTCAACATTAGAACTTGGAGTGACACAGCCAACAAGTCATACTTCATATTGTCCACTGTAGGGATAAATTGTGATGCACTATTTATTGCCAACTTAGCATAACAAACATAATAGCTAAATTTTGTCTTTCATAAAGGAAACTTAAGCTATCTGTGTTTAACACTTATTTATATCTTCAAGGCCAAAACAAATAAAACTGGTCTTCAATATCAAGTACGTTGTTAAGATCTTTTATAAAGTGTCATAGAATTACCATCATCCACTGATGCACAGCGAAAGCCCAATAAATTACAAACAATGCGTTGGCAGCTTTAAATATCAATAACCAGCAGATATCAAGTTCTTAATAGGTAACCATTATAGGTCTGACCTCAGTGCATATATTATGATCAATGAAACAAGTGGCATAGTAATTTACTCAACAGTATATTTCTGGTACTACCATACATAAACAAACAATGATGGTGATTGACATGAACATAAAATAGAACTAGCAAAATTTCATAGCATACTTGCACTCATACTAGTAGAGAATCAAAACATGTTCACGCTCATACTAACTAGAGAATCTTAGCAATGCAATGCGGAAAATAGAATCACCACATCTCTGAAACATCACCCAAGTTCATTCAAAAATTAAGAAAATTTAAAAGGATGCCCAAATTATTTGTATAAACCTACCAAAGCAAATATGAGATCCAGAACAGGACTTCAATGCTAGAGACTGGTAGTTACCTGATCAGCGACCACCTCAACAAGCTCCAGTTCATGTATGTGCCATTTTCTTGCACTGTCTGAAGGGAGCATTAGAACCATAATGGCATAGCTTTTGGCAGAAAGCTCAGGCCAATCATTTATTTGGAAATTTGAAAGATGTAATAGTGGAACTCGGACAGCAACAACTTCCGGTGGCACATATCTTCCAGTTTGAGGCCGAATCCTTGCTAATGGACACGTATGTGGGATTCTTACAGCACGGTTACTACTGAAGACTTGATTGACTACAGGAAGGTTGATGGACACAACAGATCCGAGGGGCATTTGGTGGTGCAAAGTATGTGAGAGCTGGAGATTAAGACCACTCCTTGATGGCATCCAAAGTGCACATTCTGCCAAATCCAGAGTCCTCCCTAGTTCAACCAGGGTTGTCTTTAATATTGTGTGCCTGTCAAGTGTACTTCTGATTTCATGCGTAAGCATCCTGACATGTCGCCCTGTTTCTTCTTGCGTGCGTATAATACCCATCTCCCTATCAAGTTCCTCTGCCTTATTCTTCAGAAACAACTCCCTTGTCTTAACACTTAACAAGTCAGGAATTATGTGAACAAGCATCAAAGCTGTAGCACATGATACAACAGCAGTTGAGATTTTCGCAACAGTCATCACCAATGCAACTGTTCGTGAGTGCATGGTGAATGTCCAGAGATTTATCATATGTGTTGCTCCACAAAGAACAATGAAGGCACCGAATTGTATCAACACCCATCTGTATGGGAAGAATGAAGACTTCTTCACGAAGTAAATGAGCTCGAGAGGAATGGAGAAATAGGCAAGAGCTATAAAGAAGTCTGATATATATTGATACTTCACTAGAAGTTCATCAGCAGGCCATTGCGGCTCGATGCAGTCACAACCCTCCATCTCGAAGCAACTACAGAGGCCAGAATAACAGTACTACATTCTGAAACAGCAAACAAGGTCACTTGCTACTTGGTTTGATCAGAACAGAGCTTAGCTTCTTTTTTCCAAGTGCAAGGCAGCAACTTCCGCAGTTTAATTAAAAGCTAATGAAGAACAAGCAAAATCATGACTCCGAAGGCCAGGCAAACAAATAGGTGTAAGAAAATATGAAATTCACTATCGATAAGCACAAAAAATGTATCTTTAACTCCTACACCACGCAAACCGCAAGCTGCTTACTAAACCACGAAAGATCAAAAATTAGATTTCTTCTTGTTCTTTATGAAGAGCCCGTCATTAGCCACTTACAATGTCTATTGGAAACAGAAGATTCTACTGATATGGAAAGGGGAGATGACAGAGACACTAAATGAAGCACAGGCCTCAGCTTACATGAGACAGCGCACTATTCTAGTCCCAGATTTCAATTTTCACACACCGGAAATTAGCAGAAAAAAACAGCGAAAGCAAATGAAGATCACGGGGGAAACCCTAATACAGGATAAAGGAGAGCCGCTTCCAGTGCCAAATCAGTCGCAGGGAATGATAAAATCGAACACGAAAGAACGCCGAAAAGACGTAAAGACTGTGATCTCAGAGTGGAAAAGCAAAGGAAGCAAGAAAAAAAAGAAGGCAATTGATACCTGAAGCAGAGTCGGACAGCTTCTAGGTTTCGATCATAATCGTTCCCGAGAAGTCAAAAGAAAGAGAGAGAAGCAACTAGGAACCGTCGTAACTCGCGCGAAGGAGGAGAGAGATCGAGAGGGGAGGAAGCTTTCTTTGTTTTACCTCTTCTGCACCTTTGCTTCTTCCCTTCGCAGCAGCGGTGGTTATATTTTGTGGTTCACGGTCTGAAAGCAAGACATGAATCGCCGCTATTTTAAGGAGATGGAGAATGGGAGCTCCCGCACGGTCGAACATGTACCGCCGAATGATAAACCACCGTTGGATTTTAAAGAACACGAATCTTGAGCAGATAATCCAGCGGTGGAAAGGCCCTGCCTCGGAGTGTCAACTGCTGTGGAGCTCACCGCAGTCCACAGGGGAACGCGAGAATTTCCGAGAAGGAAGATATGAAAAGAATAGAAAGGAATATGTAGAGCGATGCTCAGCTGTGATGACATGGGCAGGATCCAGGATGACCCGTTACCCCACACCCACCCACCCAACAAAGCAAAGTGCTCTTCCGTAAAAACTCCCGGCCG